ATTTTTTTTTTTTTTTTTTTTTTTTTTTTTTTGTGTAAAATGGGAGCCTGGTTAGTTTGCTTGATCTTGGGTTGTTTTGACAGATCCATTTGCCAAGTTGGGCCCGTTTTATCTATGCATAATTCAAGTGGACATTTCCATATCATACTATGCCTTGAAGAATAATATACACCCAGTAAAATGGCTTTACATATTGTGAAAATAAGATATTAAAAAAAAGACACTGATACATGTGAAAAGTAATTACAAATACACATTATTTATAACTAATGATTTCATTCTTTATAGATCATGGGAAAGAAAGGGGGAATCCCAGAGGGCGACTATGAAAAGGGAAAGCAGGTCTTCAAGCAGAAATGTTCGCAGTGTCACACATTGAATAAGGATCAACCCCACAAGACAGGACCAAACCTCTACGGGCTTTTTGGTCGCCAAACTGGACAGGCACCAGGATTTGCTTACACTGACGCCAACAAGTCCAAAGGTAATCCATTTGATCGAATATGGCACCCTTTGTGGGATCATTCACAACGAGTTGGTCCGTAGACTAACTTGTACGCAGATGAAATATGGTCCACACTTGAAAGTTTAGCGCGCAATCCCGTAACAATGGTGTAAAGTATGCCCCGCCTCCCAGCAGGGGCAGAGCAATTCAATATCGGCACATGCTTTCAAGTGGGTCGCACTATATTTGAGCTGCTAAGTAGTTATCCCGAGAGTCGTTTGATTGTGAATGGTCCCTTTCTCTCACATGGACACGTGTGCATGTACAGAACAATGTTACATTTTTTTAAAGGGGTAAATTCTGTCTCAACATTGCATTCTCAATCTCAAACTTAAAAAAAAAAATAATCGCAATTTGGTACGATTTCTACTCTGATGTAGTTTTAACTCTCATGAAACATTGTGAAAGATATTCATTTTGATATTATGTGAGTTTATTATTATTATTATTATTATTATTATTATTATTATTATTTTAGGAATTACCTGGGCACGGGAAACCATCTTCGAATACCTGGAGAACCCGAAGAAATATATCCCAGGCACGAAAATGATCTTTGCTGGAATCAAGAAACCTGGCGCAAGAGGCGATCTTATAAAATACCTGGAAGTAGAAACAGCTAAATAACGTTTCTAACTTTTAGGATAATTGACACATAGACAAGTTACAATGATCAACTTAGACACTTTTGAAGTGATTATTTAAAAGCACACCTTGGACTTACCTACCCTCATTGTCTAGAAAAATCTTTCTTTAATAATTTAAATTAACATGGATATCAGAACTTCTTCACTATGTATGGATTAAGAAAGCTAAAAACACTGAATATAGATAATTATAACACATGTGGTTGTAAATATGGCTCATTTGGTTGGCTGTGAGGCAATATTTTTGTCTTTCTGTCTTTCCAAGTTTCTCAGTACAAACTATCAATAGAATAGCAGCATTTCTATGCAGACCTTATGGACTTCCTCAGCCAATAGAGAACTAACCCAGTCTGCCCTGTACAAAACCATACGGGTAGAAGAATTTTACCTATTTATTGTATGTATTTACTGTTTACAAGTAAAGGCATTGAAGAGATATTTTGAACATTGACGCATTTGCTGTGACTCTGGTTTCAAATGATGTGTATATTTATTATAGCAGCAGTATTTTTAGCTGTATGTACCCTGTAGAAAAAGCACCATTTTCTGTTCCTTGGTCAGCATGAAATTCCCATATATATACAAGCGCATATACTGCCACAATATTTGTGTGTGATGTTTTTCTAAATGTTGTGAGGTTACACTACCAAATAAAGGCATCCTCTATTACTCGTTCACTGTTCACTTAGTTTAACGTGCATAAATAAAACGTGCAGTTGATTTGAAGAGGAATAATTTTAGTGAGGCCTTTGTCAAAAAAAAAAAAAAAAAAACGAATACTAACACGCATTCCCTCACAATTCTGCCATCTCGACTTCCCAAATGAAAAGCTCTACTGCTAGAGAAGGGACTTATGTCCCTTATTATTTTCAAGGACACGTGTTTGACGTTGAATTTGAAATAGATTTTGTTCATTTGGAGTGTCTTTGTTTATCATTTCCAACCAAAAACGCTTTGTGTGCCCGTGTAAGTAGTAGTTCTTAACGAATTACCTTTCATTTAGACCCCCATCATCTTCCTTGTCTTTGAGGAGGAATTATCGGCATGGGGCGTTTTTATATTTGAGGGGGTTAATTGCATATGTAACTTAGTCTATAAAAATTATTATAAAGAAAATCATTTTATTGTGACACGTACGTACACGTGTGAGGTACGTCTGTATCTCTGGACCCATTTGTCACCACGCATTGGATTTCTCAAAGTCGGCAGTTTATAGAAAAATGTTAATAGTAAAGTAAAAATAACAATGTAAATGTTCAATTATCAATATAAAAATAGCCATGGTCAATACGTGACTGGCTCGCTTCCTTCAAAAGCACACACCAAACATTTGGCCAATTTCCTACTCTTTACAAGGGCGGATCCAGCGATATTTTCTGACAGTCTTCCAAATTATCTTAGTTGATCCATACTCCCATTATGAACCGTCTTCTGACAAAAAATTAGATCCCCATTAATGTGAACTTAAAAAATTCTGACCATCTTCCGGAAGACCCAGATGACTGCTTCGATCCGCCCCTGGTTTATAGTCAAAATGAATTATAGTTAGTCGTTGTTAACTTGTTATCATTATCGAGTCCAGTGGGTTATCAAAAATACGCCTTTTATGGTCATCATAAAGTGAACAACTAAATAAAAAGGCTACTCCCTTGACACATTATAAGTTTTGCAGCATATTTAGACAAGGAATAAAGATTTGGACATTTTCAAACACGTATAAAATATCTTTAACCTATACATGTACACTGTATGTATCACGTATTTGTAGCTCAAAAGTTGGCATTGCATTCAGATATGATTATATAGCAAATATTACTATTTCAGAAATGTGGTACTACATTCAGATATGTCGATAAATGGATGGAGCTGGAATAATATATAATATATATATTAGCTGGAAAAGTGTGAAAGACCTTTGCCTGAGATGATATTTTAAAAATTTCAATACCGATGCGAGTACTTTGGAAAGATTCAGCAGAGAATTGGAAATAAAAGATCTACCCAGTAGCTATGGAAATGATGTCCCTTCTTTTCAATGTTGAAACTTTAAATTTAAAACTTTCTTAGATGGTAATAGAAAATTTTACGTTCTTAATAATATTTAAAGGATGCTTGTGACATGCGATATGCTTAAATTGGTGTCTCCAAATTGATGTAGCTCTGGCGATCAGCAACACTATAAATCAAGAAATTCTGAAGTTTTTCAGCAATGCTTGATGTCAAAACATATTTGAATAATATAAATGAATTTAGAAATACCCGTAATATGGTGGTAAAAAAAAAAAAAGACTGGGTGACATGAAAAAGTTTTGTTAACCAATTCCGCTGTCATGCAAATAGCCGATTCCACGCTGAAAAAAATCTAAAATTATGTAAAAGAGTTTTTTTTTTCATCCCGGTACAGAAACCGCTATCAGTACCATTCTAGCACAGTGAAGATATGGAAAAGAACTACAGAAATAATACCTCCACCTGCTCTAACGGAGAGGTCATTTATTTATTTATTTCCAACTAGTCAGTGTCGGCAAATTTTCCCTTGAATTGCTTTTGCCAGACCCATTTGACTGGTTTGCCTGTTATGACTTAGTACTTCTATGCTTAGTACATCTAAAATCAACCGTACCTTGCCATTCCAGTCTTCGACTAGTTGAAAGCACTCTAAAAAGTGGTTTTTAATTTTGTTTTGAAAAGATAAGATAATGAAACATGAAAAAAAAATTGAACGTATTTTTTATCCTCTACAATGTTTTTTTTTTTTTTTTTTTGCACAGGTTGTGGGGTCGTACAGGTGTGGAGCTATTAACGGGGTCTTTGAGAAGGGGAGGGCCATTTATAAAGAGCAATGTGGCGGATGTCACGTAGTTCTTAAGGATCAACCTCATAAGACTGGATCAAACTTCTACGGGCTTCTTGGCCGCCAAAATGGGCAGGCACCAGGATTTGTTTACACTGAGGCAAACAATGCTACAGGTATGTGTTTTGATTGAGTGTGCGCTTTTTCTTTCACACACCCACACGCGCTCGCGTACAGAACTGTCTATATTGTTTCAAGGGGGAGGGTATGCTTCACTTATGCGTTTTCTTTTATAAAAAAGTAAATCATTTAAACTCCATACGACTTCTCCTTTTGTCATGTAACCCTATGTAAGCTATTAAATTTGAATTATTTGAATTTTTTTCAGGAATTACTTGCGGGCGGGAAACCATCTTCGGATACCTGGAGAATCCGAAGAAGTATATCCCAGGCACGAAAATGATCTTTGCTGGAATCAAGAAAGCTGATGCAAGGGGCGATCTTCTGTAATGCCTGAAAGCAGAAACTGCTACTGCTTCGAATAACGTCTCTTAATTTGAGTACGTGGAGACTTTCCTTCAATTGTTTTCTGGCGACTATTGGTAATAGCTATGGAGTAACTGATTTTTTTCAAATTTTCCTCGGTCGTGGCTTAGATTTTATTATTAACTATGTGAAATAAGTCTTTCTTACATTTGGTTTATGGATTTTTGGCGGTCATGGTTTAGATTTTATTGTCAACAATGTGATATAACGTTTTCCTTTAATTGTTTTCTGGCTACTGATGGTGTAAACCGTGCGGTAAAGGTTTAAATAAAATATGTCCGGGATATTATTTAGTTTTCCACATGTTTCTCATAATGTATCCCTTATGGTTTGTAAATTACGCTAAAAATTGCAATCTCTCCCCATTGGTAAATGATTGAGGCTGGAAGGGGGCGGAGGGGGGGGTGTCAGCTGAAACTTGAAACGTGAACTCTGTTTAAATGTGTTATTTAATCTCTATGCCAATCAACAAACACGTCTCTTGTCAGGATTTACAACGCGTCTTTGCCAAAGACAAAGACGAAATACAATGTCACAAAATATATAGCCCTGTTAACCACTATATTTGCAACAGCTTTGTTAAAAATAGATTAATTGTTATTGGTTATTTAACTGGTAAATAAAATATGTTCACGTATCCCCTTGCCTGAGAGCGAATGTCACTAAAACGCGCCGTCTGTTTTCAAAAATTCCAAAAATACCTGCCATCGAAATGTTGATCAGAAATACTTCATAATGACTCTTAATTAAAAAATAACTTCTCCAAGCTCCTTTTTTTTTTTTTTTTTTTTTTTTTGTAGGGGGGGGGATAAACTATTTTAGTGGTACATTTTTACCTTTCGGCAATCTGAGAGGCTCACACGTAGCCGTCGTAATGTATGACAGTTGGAACGCCCATCCATATTAAGCCAAGGTTTAAATTTATTCTTCTTTAGCTTTGAGCGAAACTCGGCCGCTTCCCCAGGGACATTGGCGCACCAGGCCAGTATATGTATATATGTATATCACAAGCCCGAAGCCAACAATTACACAAGGGGGGGGGGGGTTTTCTGAAGATGTGGACCTTTTATCATGAAACCTTTCAAATTTTCACTGATAATGACTTTCACTGCTGCTTTTTGTCAAATTCATATTCATACCAACCGGACAAATTCGAGAAAGCTTCCCTACAACTATTTAACATGTAAGAAATGTAATTGAAGAGGCGAAAGTGAGACATTATGGAAAAAATGTCAAATGTGGGAAAATTTCAGGGTAGACATATGCACTTTTAATAGGAGAGTAAAAAAAAACGCTTTAGAACAGTAAGAGCTCTTACAATTACATAAGCCGTCTACCCAAAGATCGCCATAAAGACATATGAATATTAAATGAGTATTAATTTGCATATTAATTTGCATACAATTATCTTAAAAGTGAGTACTACTGTTCTTATCTTATCTCATATGACGGCCCATTACCCTATCAAGTTCGTTGCAAATTGTTTCTGATAATCGCATTTCTTGTGTAGGAGAGCCGTAAGAAAACGTTAAAGCACAGTAGAGAGATTGCTTAAATGAGATGCTGCGTTTTCCCATCATGTTAAGTGACATTGTCAGTTATTCTCTCTCACACAAGTGAAACATACAGTATATATTATACTCAGGAAGAAGTGGCTTACCGCGTCGCAAGCAATTAACTCCGTCCTCCATAGATGAATGGAGTTTAATGGTATACTAACCGCTTTTGAAACTGCCCCAAGGTAATTTTTTCGTGTCTTCACACCCTGCAAAAGCTACTCCCCTTTCCCCAATTCAGAGCTTGAATACTACATAACCCCTCAAATAAAACTACCTGATGTCGTTTTTTTTTCTGAAATGGACATGAAGTTTTGGGGGTCAAGAACTTAACGTTGCATTAAACATTCAGAGCTATTTTTTTAAAATTTAAAACGATGTATCAAATCCAAGTGCAGGTCGGACCAAGCATTAATTCGTTATTTCGGAAAAAAATACTTTCTTAAAAAAACCGATGAAAATACCAGATAGGAAACCTTAAAAAGCGGAAGCGCCTCGAATGGTGAATAAAACAGAAAACAATTATACATCTTACTGAAAAAGTGTTTATTTCTACTGCACAAGTACATGAAGCAGATAGGATATATTATACCTGAATTAATGACTATTTTAGTAGGATTAGCTATCTCACACACACAAGGGCATGGTGTAGAGTAGTTAAACTGTGCAGCAGTTTCAGTATATAATAATAATAACAATAATAATAATAATAATAATTTATCAACTTTTTATAAAAATATACATAAATTCCGATTGAAATTTGTCTGTGTAGTAATGTTATGTAAATAATGTTCTATAATGATGGATTTTTAAAACTGTTCAATTTTCTACACTATAACTGTAGAGTGACTGATGGAGTCCCAAATGCTGGGACGAAAGCTATAACAGGTACGCTTTTAGGTAAATTGTAGAAAATGAACAGTTTTAAATTTTCAGCACTATGAATACATCAAAATTGATTTCCTCCACGAGTTCTAAAATAAACATGCGAATTAAGCGCATTAAATGAATAACTCGTACTTTGTTGCATGGTGATCGGGCTCATTTGTTTCCTATCGTCGAGAAAACTTATCAATTTATTTAGAACATCCACATTACGTTCGTCGTCTCATCATCATTCTCACTTAGGTCCATTCAATATGACTGTAATGACCACACAGTTTTGTCTTATGATAATTGTAATAAGTGAGTTGACTGTACAAGACAGCGATGAATAATGCGATAATGCCACATACGTGTATATGTAAATTCTTATGAATTACTTTATTTTCATTTCATCTAGATCTCTCAATTAACTTGCAGATGAAAAGAAAGGGTAAAGTAGGAATTAATGAAAGAAAGATGACCTGATAACTTTTGTTCTTATAGCAGTATAGTTATGACTTTTATCGTATCCTGTCGATCCTTTGGCATATCTACATAGCTGCCATAGCCTTTTTTAGTGTAGTTTCTCACTATTTTTAAAATTGGTCTCAAACCGATCAGCACCATCTTTGTCTGCGCAACTTAAATATTTAGTCCGTTTTCATAGGCAGCTCTGAGTTTTATCTTGGTTTTCGCTCAGGGGCGGCAAGGTATTTTTCTACTACAATATCTCGTTATAAAGCTCTGTGGGAGGGGGTGAATGGGATTTCGCGGAAGCTAAGGGGTGGAGCGCGTGATAACGGTGCCTTCCCCTGGATCACTTAACTCATACCTGTTTGACAGATAGAATATCACGCGACTACGATGAAAATTGTGTCCCAAGGCTTTCCGCTTCCCGCCTTGAATCATCCCTGTAACAGTTTTATGGCCATGATGTCTCCTTTTTGCTTTTAAAGGCGTGTCACTTGGTGGTCAGGTGATTGACTTCAATATAGAATATACTGCCTAATACAAAAGCACACAGTTTACATGCAGAACATATATACATAGAGAGGAAGGTTTTCGTTTTCATCCGAAAAAAAAAAACAATAAATTGGCGACTAAACAGTGTACACATATGCGATCACACAAAGTATTTTTCATAAAAAAAACTGCTGAATGTTACAGAATCTTTGTTCACAGGCTCACTTAATGCGGTGGCCTCTTTATGTATTTTTTTCGTTTTCATCCAAAAGATAGTTTGTGATAAGATGTTTAAACCTCTCCTTATTTGATAATATAAAATTAGGTGCGAAAAACTTGTCGGTAGCAGGAGAGGCCATCTTCATGCCTTTTGGCTCCAGATAATTGCCATCAAACCAGCGTCCCTCTCTCACTAAGGTACGAAGGAAGTCTAATTTCTGCTTTTTCGGATCATCACCAAAACGCTCTCCATCCCCACTCAAGGCGGATGTCAACTTCGTTTTGATGCCATTTATATCGAAGCACCATGAACAATGCCATCCGGCAAATTTACCCTGTTCCCCGAGTTGCCATACCAATACATCGTTTCCTCCTTTCTTGTATTCTGATACCTTACTCTTTTTTACCTCGCCTAATCCTTTTCGCAGCGTACCAGGTTGGTTGTCAAAAACTTGGCGGAGCATGCCTACCGAACACCCTGCGGACTGCACTGTCCAAACACGGTTCATTTTCCAGAAATATCCGTACACAGACCACCTAAGAACAAAGCCAAAGGGCTCAGGGTACCCGTCATGGAATTTGAGAAAGGCTATTGCATCACGGGACGGTATCTCATCGGCGTCAAGATGAAGAAACAGATCGTCTGGTCGTAGTTCTGCAATACTCGGGAATCCTTTTTTGAGAAAGTTTCTTGCATACCGCTCCATTTTAAATCCGTTCGTTTTACCGATTGCCAAAAAGTGGTCTAAATGAATATAGATGATATTTGAGTAAAAATCGCACAAGTATCCATCTTGTAGTTTTTGGTATAACAAAGGTAATTTGGGGTCCCCGTGAAGCGTGAAATTCGACTCTTCTATCATCACTACGTCGACCAACCCTGTTAGCTCGTGCAAAAGCGCTTCCAAAGTGTCAAATTCGTGATTCAGGAGCATTGAAATGACGACCTTTCTTGGATGTCTGCGAACTTTTATTTTTCTTTGAATTTCTTGTGGGAGTTTCGATATCCTGAGCCGTGCAACTTCGGGTATGCTGCAGGCGTTTCCAGTCCAGCTCTTCTGACAAACACACCCATTCTTTTCATTTCGCCAAAGAGTACCAAATTTGAAACATCGAGTTCCGTTATATGAGACGAAATGCTGGTCTTCCGCATTTATTTCATCCAACTGAGCTGGAGCAATAGTGTACAGATCTGGAAAACGCCTGGCTGCTTTTGCTTTGCATGTAGCCTCAGAATTTTCAGCAGTTTGCTTCAGTTCATGTTCGCCAATTCGTCCAGTTTGCTGATGAAAAGACGCTAGTTCCTTTTCATTAAGGCGTCTGTGAATTTTGTCCTCCATTGAAACGAAGTATAGCACACTAAGTTGAAAGACCACAAATAGCACCAGTAATGGGCGCCTGTAAATCTTAGCCCTGTATTTTATGCTCCGAAACATACTGTTTACCTTAATTTTTTTCAATCAATCAGCAAGTTGCTTTCCTTTAGACCTTTTGTCCAAGAAAATGTTTTCAAAATGACATCAACACTCTTTGTTCATAATCTTATTCTGCAGACAGGCGCCGGAATTGAAGCTGTGCTCAACATTGATACATATCTTGCACATCTTAAGTTGAAGGTAATAATTTACCTACCTGTGAGGGGAGGGGGGAAGGGGGGTCCCACGTTTGCCCCACAGCTACCTGTCTACTTGACTATGCATGATACAGTGATTACTAATTTAGAAGGCTATATATATATATATATATATATATATATATATATATATATATATATATATATATATATATATATATATATATATATATATCAGCTATATGCGACATATTATTATAGAATGACAGATCGCATTTCGGAGTATCAGTCAGAACACCGTCAGGATGAGCCCACGGTCGTACTACAAAATTTGTTCTAGGGTATGATACTCCGAAATGCGATCTGACACACACCTTGAAATCAGGTAGTGTGGTGCGATATACCGGTTAATTCAGGATCCTTATGTGCCGAGTCTGGTAGTTGGGTAGGTCTGTGGTTGGTATTGTTTCGTATTAAAGGGCGGTTGTTTCGCTTTCCGTAAAGTGGTTGCGCGTGGCTTCACTAGCAGCAACACGACCATACCCGTCTTTTTCAAACTGTGAGAAAGACGCCACTGTTGCTACACATACGCCTACGCTGATATTTTCTTTTGGGGTAGAAAATAAAAATATACTTGTTTATAGATTGCATCATTTTAGAATAATTCAGATACTATCAGTTGAGTTAATTGTGGGGCACAAGCTTTCGAATTATTCAAATACGGTACGGTAAGTATGTTTAATAGAAATTTAAATGCGTGAAGGGTGATATACCAGACAAGGACAGAAGTAACGCGTAATTACCAGTGTTTGTCAA